GCCACCATGAAAACAAAATGTTTTTTTTGGGGGGGTGCATTTTAAGGAGCTAAATGAATGTCTTCCTTTTTTGCAGTAGCTTTAATGGCTGCATTTATGTTACTTTTTACAGTTTAAGTATAATTTTTTACGCTCCCTGCATCCTGGCTAATTTGTTTATTTATTGCAATATTTCTCTATAGCTGGAAAGCTCAGGATGGGAGATAGATCAGTTTTAGGGGGTTTTTTAATGAACGCTTTTCTGTATTTATTGCTGCTGTTAATTTCTCTCCTACAACATGTTTCAGAGAGTGTCTTTGCTAACATTCTTAGTAGTTCTTCAGTCTCACCAAGGAAAGGCAGGGAATACAAAAACACCAATTAATTCCAAACACAAAAACTCTGGAAGAAGAAATTTTGGATGCAAATGAGAATTTTGCAAGCTTTACCACATAGGGCATCCTTTATCACGTCCTCTGCCGTCGCCTCCCTGGGAAAGAGGAATGTGTTTAAGGAGGCCTAACTCTGAACAATGACAAAATGGGATTTAGCAAACGGCTGCACAGGAAATAGGGGGAAATGAGATTAGACTAATTCAGACGCTGCATAAGGAGTGGACCAGCTGCCTTAATTCAGGCAATGTGAATTATTAATGATTTATATATAATTTCCACCCCCTTCTGCCCTCATACAGGCTTGTTTCTCTTGGCAAGACTCTTTCCATGCCTAGATCAGGAAATTGGGGAAATCAGTTTTGCAAAAGGTCAAATGCTGCACGTTGTCAAAATTGGTTCTCTCGTGCCAGGCCTGGCTTCCTTCGTGGACAAAGGCTGGACATTTTAATTTCATGTGCTCTACACAGAGAGGAAGGGAAGGGGAAGGAAAATACAGATCAAGGCATCCAGTTTCTAGGGTGAGGCTCTAAGGCAGTGGCTCCCAGCCCTGGGTCCTTCGACGGTCTTGGACCACAGCTCCCAGAACCCTGCACCAGCAGCTGTGTTGACCAAGATTTCCAGGAGTTGAAGTCCAATAACATCTGGAGACCCAAGGTTGGGAACCACCAAAACTCCCAGAATCCTTCACCACTAGCTATTCTGGCCAGGATTTCTGAGAGGTGTAGTCCAAGAACATCTGGGAACTCAAGGTTGAGAACCGCTGTTCTAGGGCCTAACAATTTGCTACTGCAAGGTGGGGATCAGCCCTCCTGGATGTTTACCCCATGCCCAGCCCCTTCTCCGTGGGTAGAAAGGAACAAGACAGTGCGCTCCTCTTGAGAGTCTTCTGGATGACAGACCTCCATCGGAAGGACTGTTCAGGTCTGGCTTGATGAGACAGAACCCTAAAGAGGGAGGTCAAGGACCTCCATATGGTCCTTGGGCATTGATCTCCAGGCATTTCTTGACTCTCCTCCATCATCAGCTCCTTACCTATGTCCATCTCATGGGACTGAAACTTAAGCAGCAGGGCAATAGGGTCCCGGATGCTGGATTTACCACTTAACACATAGCCAAAAATGAGAACGCAAGAGGATGCCAATTTGCATAAAATTCAGAAGCAAGTTTATTAGAATTTTTTATTATTATAATTTAACTGAATCATACAATGCATCTAAGGCAAGTGGGAAAGTCTGTTTACTGGGGAGCTGGTGACCCAATGGGGAATTTGCTATCTGGATGTGTTCCCTATGGATGGAGAACTCTGAGGTCCCTGACCTCCCTCTTTAGGGTCCCGTCTCTTTAAGTCAGACCTGAACAGTCCTTCCATTAGAATTTTTTATTATTATAATTTAACTGAATCATACAATGCATCTAAGGCAAGTGGGAAAGTCTGTTTACTGGGGAGCTGGTGACCCAATGGGGAATTTGCTATCTGGATGTGTTCCCTATGGATGGAGAACTCTGAGGTCCCTGACCTCCCTCTTTAGGGTCCCGTCTCTTTAAGTCAGACCTGAACAGTCCTTCCAATGGAGGTCTGAGGTCCCTGACCTCCCTCTTTAGGGTCCTGTCTCTTTAAGTCAGACCTGAACAGTTCTTCCAATGGAGGTCTGTCATCCAGCAGACTCTCAAGTGGAGCACTGTCTTAAAAGAGGACATGGGGACATCCTGGTATAAACACACAGAGGGATCTGCATGGCAAACCCTTCCATTTTGCTTCATTTCAGGTTCTTTCAGGGCTGCTTCTTCTGTTTTATGTCTTCCGTGCACTGGCCCTTTCATTTAATGAAGAAGGGACTGCTTCTGTGGGGTTATTCTATTTCATTTTCCTTCATTCATGCTCTTTATGGTACACATCCAAAAGCCCTAAAGAACCTGTAAAAGCTACCCCAAAAAAGGTAGAGGCAAGGCGACAGAACACCAATCTATATCAAAAGCAGACAATAGTGGAATTCATGACAACCACCATCAAACAGTCTCTGACACACCACCCAATAATAGTCCTTTAAGAGAATAAATGGTTGTGATTGCCATCAAATCAGGAAAAAAAAACACATCCAAAAGCCCTAAAGAACCTGTAAAAGCTACCCCAAAAAAGGTAGAGGCAAGGCGACAGAACACCAATCTATATCAAAAGCAGACAATAGTGGAATTCATGACAACCACCATCAAACACTCTCTGACACACCACCCAATAATAGTCCTTTAAGAGAATAAATGGTTGTGATTGGCATCAAATCAGGAAAAAAAACCTTATAGTGACCTTAATAGAGCTTTCAAGATAATTTAAAAAGTGGCTTTATGAGTTTACACATCCTCCACAGAGTTTCTGTGGTTGAGTGGGGATTCAAACCCAAGACCTCCTGAATCCTATCCGTCACTCTATCCATGACACCATATTGGGTATTAACAGAATAAATGCACACTGTAAATCAACCAAAATAACACATATAAAAAATCAATCAAACAGGAAAAGCCTCCCCAATACACACAGAGAGGAAAATAACAAAACTAACCACAGACCCCTCTCCCAAATAGCAAGAATAGCAAGTGGAAAAAGGCAAACGATAAAATCAAAGTCCTTCATTCCACAAACCACACAACAGAAGAGTTAGAATAAAATGGGCAGATCCAGAAGCCTCCCCTTGCTTCTAGAAAGTCATTTTCCCATTTTCTGTATTTATTAACTGTGTTTGAGTTTTCTATCAAGATGGCTGTTTTCCTTTCTTCTCACTAGAAGTAGACAATTAATAAAAGAAAGCTTGGAAGACTGATTTCACTGGTAAACAAGTATGACTCCGGCCTTGTATATGTTTGAAGCTTCCACAGAAAAGTAGCAGCTCCTTGTTCCCAGTGCTCATAAATTTCTCATTCACATAATTTTCCAGGTCTCATCATAACGAAACTCCCCCACCTAAAACCACCTGGCACCAGCAAGTTTTATAGATTTCTTGCAAAAATGGTATTTTCTCCTTTATTTTATCATCCGCCCCCCAGCTCCTGTTCTGCACTGTAAGTTGCCATATAGCACAATGTCCTTTCAAATGAATCTTGAACATGAAGGATGATGCCATTCGGCCCAGAAATTGTAATCATCCTGTCCAGCTTGGCATTCCTTTCACCCTTTCCTGATGAATTCCCCCCACAGACGCCATGTTGCACAGGAATTGAAATAATCCTGGACAGCCTTTACTTCCATGATGAGCAGGACGCTCCTTGATACATCTTTGAGATTTCTCAGGGGGAAGGATCTCATGCAAAGAAATCTTGTCAGAGGGGGGAAAGGGGGGGATTTTCCTCCTTGGTTTCTCACACAGAGCCAGCGAGTGTGAAATTCAACGCTGCTTGCCCAGAATCCGAGGGCAGCAAAAGACGCCTGCATTTCTGACACTCTCCAAAAATCAGGTGGGGATTTTCCAGTGAACAGCAATGGTGGATAAGATCATCTCAAGCAATTTCTACAAGAGGAAGAGACATATTCCCCACATTTTATCCATTAATTTTTCTTCTTAGTTTGGCCTGGATTGCCCTGACCAAAACAGAAGGCATGCTCCACTCTGGCAACCTGGCACTGAATATTTTGCATCCTCTATTGGACTGAGCCTACCATTTATTCAAGAGAACGGCTGGATAGCTCAGTGGTTTAGGTCTCCACAGATAGAGGTTGGGAGTTCGATTCCCCCACTGGGCCTTCTTGATAGGGACTGGACTCACTGATCCATAGGGTCCCTTCCAGCTCTGCTCAGATAATGGTGGCGACGATGATGATATACAGAGAGGAGGGAAAACATGGTGGCTGGCACCAAACAGATGTTGGAGAACAGGAGGAGGAATCAGAAAAATTGAGAAAAATATGTCCTCTGATAAATTTCCGTTCGATATTCAAAATGAGTGTGCTACAGAAAAGGTTTGACTGAACCTTCCCATTGTCCTGCTTGCAGAAGACTTTCAGTGTGAGAGAGGAACATTTAATTGTGTGCTATCAACTCAAAACTATTCTCAAGCATCACGGAGACACGAAATGCTATCCTTTACGATTCTTTGTAGCATATACAGTGGTTGCCCATTCCAGCCTTTCAGATTAGGATGGACATAATAATCATGTACTGTCAAGTCAATTCTGACTTGTAGTAACCCTTTCCAGGGTTTTCTGGGTAGACAATACTCAAGACTGGTTGACCCCTCTTTTTTTGGAGTGCCCTGAGGCTGTGCAGCTGGCCCAAGGCCACCCAGGCTGGCTTTTCAAGGATGCACAGCAGGGAACTGGACTCTCAACCTCTTGCTCCACAGCCACTGACTTAACTCCCTGAGCTATCCAGCCAGATACAGGATGAACATATGCAGCTCATAGAAGCTTTTTAGGGCTTCTCTCTGTAGACCCATCTTCCCTAATCCTCCCTAGGTTTTGGACTTCAAATCCTCCTGTCCTTGGATAGAACAGCCAGTGATATGCTGGCTAAGGTGAAGAGGTATATTGTCTCTAAAAAAAACCTCAAGAGGGCTAAAAAAAATAACCTTAGATTATTCCCAAGGTTATATACATGAACTTTCAGTACATCGAAGAGGTTGTAGAGGAAAATTACTCACCTGAAAAATCAGTGCTTCTGTTGTCAGCTTTCTGTGTTCAGATTTCATTCAGCCTGTCCTTCTTCAGTATAAGCTTTGCTACTGCTGGGTTCCTTTCCTGAAAGAAAATGTACATCATTCAGAATCATTTGTGACGTTTGGCATCAAACCCGCCGTTCCTCTCACTTAGTCTCTTACTGTCTTCCTCTCTCTCTCTCTCTCTCTCTGCCTCTGAATTATAAGCATGTTGGATTACATCCCAGTCTGAAATTTAGAATAATTATGCATCTCTATAAGAGACCTTTTGTGATGAGAGATGGTATTTACTTCTCTGGCTGGAAAAAAAAATCTCTAACACGCGTAATTTTCATTTTATTTTGAAAACTTCCTTAGACACATTTCAGTTATTTCTGGGGAAATATTTTTAAAACTGTGCATCATGTCTTGTCCTTTTTTTTTAACAAGAAGATGTTGATGATTTGTAATCCTGATTTATGTAGACTCGTCTAACATACAGGCAAACCAAGGGAGTATTAAAAGAGGAAGGGAGAAGGGAAAAGAAGAGAAAAGTCCATAGAGAACTGGTAAGGAAAATTCCCTATAAGAACCTAGGGATGCGTTTAGATTTCATTCAATCGTCGTTTTTAAATAAATGAAACTAATCCACATTTCACAGGCTAAAAATATAGGCTGGAACACAGTTCGTTTTAACCTTGGAAGCATCTAGATGCAAATAATGAAATAAATTGTATCTATTTACATTTGGGCAATGGATATTCTAGTTAGGCTGTGATCACACCAGTGAAATGTTTTCTGGTTCTTCCCCTTTGATTTTTAATTTTAATCTGTAGTTCCAGGATGCATGGCCATTAGCGAATCATTTACCTGGCAAGCGTGCTAATTGTGGATCACTTTTGACTCAACCAGAGGTTTCTCCTTTTTTGTTGTTGTGGGTCTTTCAATAAAATGTTGTGTTGCTGCCTATGTGGATAACCTTATTGCACCTGTTTTGAACTACTGTTGCCATGCTTAGCCTTTTAAAAGGTTTTAATTTTTTTTAAAAAAAATTTCATGACGTTTGTGTTGATGTGTCAGTTAACATTCTGTCAAGCGGTCTCAACAGAAGAAGCTCTAGGCACTTAATGAATTGGAAAGAAGCGACTTGGGACCCCCAAAACACATTGGGACTCACCTCCTGGAATAAATGCCATGTGCCCTCAAAGCACAACAGGAACGTGGTTAAAAGCCGCATCAGCACAGGGGGACATTGGTGTAACTACAGCCTTCATCATTTTTAAGGTGCAATGGGTAACACAACATGGCATGACTTGGATGTAAAATGCAGTTTGTCCATTCTGTCCTAGCTACTATCGTAGCTACTATTTCCAAGCTCCGTTTAATGGCTGGAGGCTTATGCTAGCAGGGTCTCTATGACTGCGTTGCAGCCTTCTTAAAAGTCCTTGTAGATTTCAGACCCTGGTGGAAGCAGCATCTTTGGTCATCCATATATGAGCACCCAATCCAATCCTCCAGCCAACACCAGGAGCTCTCCAAGGTCCTGTCCACTTATGAGGTGTTACCTAAGCCTGCCTGCTTCCTTTTTTATATGGAACCATCTTCTGCTGGGACCCAACCACCAGAGGTTTCTTGAGCTCCTGTGCAGGTCTACATCCTGATCTGCTCAAAGCCCACAGCCTAGAACAGGCTGGAGATTTGCTAGAGAGAATCCCGAAGAGAAGTTCCCATCTCTGTCTGATAAGGCATAAACATAGACTTTATCAACCCAGTGAAAACAATGCCATTTTCCCCCCTCCTGGAACTGCCTCTGTTTCCCATTTATGGGAGTTTTGAGGAGTTATCTGGATAGATGAGCCATTCAACTATAGCCCCCTTCATTTTAGTGCATTTCGGGCAATGCCTGTCACAAGAAGCTTGTGTGCTGCAGTGTATATACATCTTTATTGCAGTGCAAATAGTACAGGCCTAAAATAAAGAAAAGGCAAACAGGGTCACTGGGAATCCAAATATTTGCATTTTAATATGTTTCTCCTGCTCCTATATTTAGCAGCCAGAACATTCAGGTAAACAGAGAAAACAGTAATCTCTAGAAGAAGATGAGGGAGGCCAGATTTTTGAGAAATAGAAGAACAGTTCTCTTTTACCATTTTTAGTAAATGTCCTTGCCAATGTCGGTAAATCAAATGCAACCAGTACTGAATGGTTTATGAGAAAAGGAGAAGTGAACAGCTTGTCTGCTAAAACACAGAGCCTAGAAAAGGTGTTTTCAGCGATAGGTCTCACTCGCATGCCAGTTTACCCAATGCACGATGGGGGTTGTAATCCAAAAAGTACCTTTTTTAAAAGCTCCAGTTTTCCTATCCCCTGTGACCTAGAAACACCCCCGCATCTCGCAACTTATAAGCAATTGATAGACACCAGTTTGAAAAGTATCTGCTATCTTCAAAAATGTGCTCAGATAGGGTATATTTATTTTATTTTATTTTATTTACATTCCGTCCTATTAGTGAAATGCCCAATTCCGGGAGGTTTACAACAGCAAACAAAATATATACAAATGAAATCACAAATAAACAAAGGAATTAAAACACTGAACCCAATAAACCCAGAGATGGCGACAGAAGCAATTCTCTATATAAAACAGCAAGAGGAGAGGTGTAAAATCAAAATCAGACAGGGTCGGCATGGAAGGCCCTCCTGAAAAGGAGCATTTTAAGTTGCTTCCTAAATGTTAACAAGGAGGGGACCAGCGTAGCTTCACCAGGAGCTGATTCCACACAATCGGTGCCACTGCGAAGAAGGTCCTGCTTCTTTTGGATGTCTTTCAAGCCTCCCTTGGGTTGGCTACCCAGAGGAGAACAGCCTGGGAAGATCTGGTGGGTGGGGCAGGCGTCATTGGGGGAGAAAAGCCCCAATAATTAATGTGCCAAATGTATATACCAAATATTCTGAAGTTTTCGCTTAAATAAATTATCGATGCAAGAAATGCAAAACTGATAAACGCATATAGTCCATCTGTTGTTGCTCAGTGTTCAGTATTGTAGTAAACTGCAATGCATTCTTATTTCCAAAAATTAGCACCAGGCATAATTGCTATTACTATTATTTTTACTATGAATCAGCACAGGTCAGCATGTGGCGTTCAGGTTACGGGCTCTGCTTCTACTACTTGGTTTTTGAAATGTCTGTAGACACACTCCTGCAATCAGCTTCCTGCCAGGAGCCGAAAATCAAAGAGATTTTGAGTTTTCTGCAATGTATTTAAATATGTGTACATCCCCCCCAGGATTTCTACTTGGAACCCCTAAGAGCATTTTCCCCCCTCTCCTTTGCACTCTTATACATGCTGGACATAAATTTGGCTGCAGTTCACACCTCCTTGTCAAAATTATGGTGCGGTGCCCTAACAGTTGAGCCACAGGTGGTCCGAACAACAATTAACCAGCATGCAAAATTGAGGGGAAACTTTACCAATTGAGAAATAAAAGGCATTTTCCCCTTTACTCCCAAAGTCATTTCAAACAGTGCAAACCACTTAAAAACTGCTTCCAAGCTGATTGTCTTTCTTGGGAAAGCATGATTTCCTATGGTTGTACTTCAATGTATTATATACCAGAAGCCGTCATCAGAACTCATGTTTCCTTTCATTCTTCAACAGGGCAGGAACCTAAAAATCTATTATCAATAGAATAGTTCAACCAGAACATGTTCTCTGGAAAGAGCAAAATAACAGAGCAGGAGGAGAACTCATAAGAAGCGGAACAGCGGCCTAAATGAACATACGCTGAGCAACTGAAAAGGAAGGAACAATAGACATGTTCAGCTAGCAAAATAAACCATTATGGCGTATAAAAATAAAGTTTTGCTTTTGTTAAAAAAGCAGACCTCTAGGAAGGCATTTGAAAAATGAAAATCCTCAAGGCACCATGTGGTGGACACAATATAACACTAGAATGGGAACGCAGAAATCCAAAATCTAGAAGTTATGAACTCGGTAAAGGGTGTTGGTCAGAACAGAAAGAAATGTGGGCTCTCGGTTCTTCCTCAAATCATCCTTCCATCATTTCTGTCACTTGGACATTCAGAAGCACCCCATCAGGTGTGCTTGCTGCTGTCAACAAATACAGCATTTATAACAAATATACTTTACAATCCCTCTAATCAGAACAAGGAAGCAGACATAATTTTCTTCCCTCCTTACATGAATAACTAACCAGTTCAATTAATACTGAGCTGGCTGGCTGGTTCAGTGGTTTAGGTATCTAGCTGTGGAGACAGAGGTTCGGAGTTCGATTCCTCCACTGTGCTCCTGTTCCAAGGAGAAGAGCCAGCCTATGTAGCCTTGGGCAAGCTGTACAGTCCCAAGGCATCCCCAGAAAAAGGGAATGGTAAACTATGTCTAAGTATTATTTTCCTGGAAAACCCTGAAAAGGGTTGCCATATGTCAGAAGTGACTTGGTGGCACATGATGATGATGATGATGATGATGATGATGATGATGATGATGATGATGGTGGTGGTGGTGGTGGTGGTGGTGGTGGATCGATAGCTCAGTGGTTTAGGTATCTGTCTGCACTCTGTGTATTAGGAGTTCAATTCCCCACTATGCTTCCTGGGAGAAGAGCCAGCCTGGGTGGCCTTGGGCAAGCTGGACAGCCCCAGGGTGCCCCCTAGAGGAAGGGAACGGTAAACCACTTCTGAATATTTTCTACCTGGAAAATTCTGAAAAAGGTTGTCATAAGTCAGGAGTGACTTGATGGCCAAATTATTGTTATTGTTATTGTTATTGTTATTGTTATTGTTGTTGTTATTGTTATTATTATTATTATTATTATTATTATTATTATTATTATTATTATTATTATTATTTAAATTAACATTACACTATCTATTCCAATAAAAGAAGAACAACTTGCAAGGCAGCCTTTAAGGGTGACCAATAGCACAGCATGAATGAGGTTAGCTGTCTCTTTTATTGTGGTTGACTAGGAGCTGTTTTTTTGGTTGCAGGATCTGGCAGAGCCACCTAAGAGCAGAATGAATAAGGATGGTCTCAAAATGTTCCCAGCACTGTTCCCTATTCAAATTAAATTAAAGGAA